TGATGCTGCTTGGCCTGCTGTGTTCATCCAGCTCTACACCTACAAAATATTTGTGCCAAGATTCAAAATAAATGATACCTTTTCCTTTAACTTGGCATTTAACATCAGGATGGTCAATGATCTCACAAACTGCAACACAGCTAAGGACAGGTCCCAGAATACTTTGGTGCCAGCCATTACCATGAGGACTGTACAGAAGAGCCAAGCTCAGATCACTGGTAAGATATGTTCCTTCCCCAAAGAGAGAAGTCTATGAAGAAAAGATGAACACAAATAAACTTGCACAGGAAGTGAACAAAGTCAAGCTAATACTTTTTATGTCCTCTGCAATTCTTTTGAAGGAAGTTATCAATATCAAAAGTATGTCTGCACATGGATTCAGTGTATTATTCAAATGAAAGATAAACAACAATATATAGACAGCTTGGGCCAAAGAAACTGCTTCATTGTTGTAATTTCTGTGTAATTAAACGCTGCTTTGCTGGTGTACTCCATCAATTTCTTGTCTATTTTAAGGTCCAAGGTAAGCACAAAGATCAAAGGCTTGATGTTCAACAAAGGGGGATGTGAGACCGTTGCCCCAGTGTAAGAACAATTAAAAAAGAGAAAGCAAGGTGACATCAAGCCAGACAGGGATGTGTGAGGGACAGTAAGCAAGAGAGAGTGCATGAGGGAAAAAGGGTACATGTTGCCAGTTAGAAGTACTCAGTGACTCTGTTGCATGGATCACTCCAATACAGGGCAGAGGAAAACGAGAGGGTATGACATAGTACCGATGTGTAACTAAGCAGAAGTGTCAATTGTAATGCTAATGCTGCTGTTCACACCCTTCTTTTGTGATAAAATGAGATTTAAGGTTTTTTCAAGAGCTGGTAGAGCCAATTAACAATGAATTCCTCACCTTGTTTAGGTGACACTGTAAACCACAATGAATAATGGAATAAAAATTCTCAAGTCGGCTCCCATGAAATGCATAGATGAGATCTCGGTCTCCTTTGGTTTCCTCAAACTTGGCATTCATCTGATCACAATAAACAATCTCAAACAAGAAGTCGGGGGTAGCAGCAGAGGGTGTCGTGAACCCAGTGAGTTCCTGGATTTCTTCATACTAGAACACAAACAAGATTTCCTGTTGCAAAAAATCACCCCTGCAACAAAAAAAAAACTAATGCGGTGAAGCTTTTGTATTTGATGGCAATGACATAGGGGAGTGGGGTCAGGCAACATCTTATTCACTCCTTCCTATTCACTCTTCATAGTCCATGACCATAAGCAGGTTGTTAATACATCTCAATACAACCACTAGTAGTGCAGTGCAGAGAGATGAGCCTTCTGAGCAATGAATCCAGATTCCTACTCATATTTTATTCCCCAGTCTACTAGTAACATGTTAAATTTGCAAACCCACTATGGGGAAAATCGTCGCTATGTCTACTGCTTTGAAGTAGAGAGATAGTTACATGTAAAACTTCAAATGCAAGCTGCACACCGTCTAGACTTGGAAAGATGCATTTCCTCCCATTAAACAAAACACATTACCTTTCTACATAAATCATTATGGCCAACATAGATAATGTACAAACTCTACTTTGAACACTGGTAGAAAATCCTTTCCAGGAACCAGACACCGATTCCCATGAGAGAGATAGTAGGAACTGCAGATGCTGGAGAATCCGAGACAACATGAAGGGTCTAGGCCCAAAATGTCAGCCTTTCTGCTCCTATGATGCTGCTTGGCCTGCTGTGTTCATCCAGCTCTGCACCTTGTTGTCTCGGATTCCCATGAACCTGGATGTCTGTCAAACCCCATGCCCCACAAAAGGTTAAAAAGTAGTACTCAAACAAGATCACTAGCTAACAAGTTTTTTTTCTTCAATCCATATGGCCATCAGAATGCACACAGCAAAAGGCCCAAAGTTTGCTGCCTTAATATATCTATTAACCTGTAAGTATTAGCAAAGCTGTCCTGAGATTTACAAAAATGGCAGTTAGTAATCTTTGCTGTAAGAGTAATTGTCCCCCAATTTCAGGGCTATTTCTAGCTCACTTATTCTGTTGAGTAAATAGAGCACACTCAGAGTAACCCACAGCTGTAGCAATCAATAAGATCAACAGTCAGGTTCATTAATGAAAACTCTTTTGACAAGGTCAATTTCCAGCAGTAACATCCAAAGTTCTAGTTAAAAAGTAACAGAGAATTAAAACACTTAAAATGGAGGAGTAAAATATCCAATATGTTTCTAAAATTCACAACTGAATCTAAAAATGTTATTCTGCAACAAGTCCTGGCTGCATTCAAATGCAGGATGGCTACACCCATCTCTGTACAATTGTTAACTCCTACACAAACACTCAAACAGCATGTCATGCACATCACTGTGCACAGTACCTGGTATACCTGTAGTTCTATGATACGGCAGTTCTGCAAACATACACTTTGCTTCCCAAAGTTTCTCCCACAAACACTATCATGACTGGTGTGTTTTGGAGGAGGGGATGCACTGCCTGTTGGAGGGTAAGTGCAGCAATTATAACTCACTCAGTACTCCATGGCGACCATGGCTGCCTGAAAACCTCATGACTCCAAAGTTTTGGCTTGTGCTAAAAGTTTGAGAAAAGACATTACATGCTGGTAAGACTATTCGGTGATTTCTGCTCCAATAAATTTTGTTATCCGAAATATTCTTTAATTAATAGAATCTGGTCACTGCTGTCAAGACCAGCCTTTAATGCCCATCCCTAAGTGCCCTTAAAAGTGTAGACATCTTGTTAAATTGCTATCACCTGTGTGCTGCTAGGTAGGCAGTTCCAGAATTCTATTACAGAAACAAAGGGATGGTGACATGTTTCCAATTCTGGATAGTGTGCAACTTGGAGACAAACAACGGAAGTTATACTCGTGGGTATAGGCAGTCACGACTGTAGAAAATTTTAATACCAGCTGAACAACAGTTCAACGTTTTTAATAAATCATTCAAACAGGTTCTTACCCCCTTTTTCCCCAAACTTTTGATGGTCAGGTTTTTTGACAAACAGGCCCAGCTGAGAAGTTCTAAGGTCCTTTTTTGTGGGTTTATTCCAGAGTGTAGCAACTGTTTTAAATTTGGCAGATTTTGAGCATCAGCAAGCTGCAAAGAGACACAATCTGTCAGTCCAAAAATATGTCACATGTCCAGCAAAGAACTCTAACAGTCAACAGAACCATTAAAAGATCAGAATATAGAGTTTCTATTTTGGATGCAATTAGGGTTTCTGGTGCAATATGCACTCAAAATTGCATCATCTTGAAAACTGGTATTCCTTTCCACACACATCCCCAAACCATTTACATGCATGCAAAAGCAAAATCTGCCACAAAGCAGAATACAAATAGGCAGCATTTTTTTTTAAAACCTGTGATATGTTTAAGAGCGGTAACTTGGTTCAGACTGACTAATACAGGTAAATTGATTAAAAGTTTTCTTTTTGTGAAAAATCTGTTAATCCACCAACTGAGAGTCACTGACCTTAAATTAGTGAAAATTAGTTTTAGGCATATGGAAAACCATTTGCTAATTATATGAGTGTTCAATAGTCAGATTCCTAATAAGTTTAAAAAGTATATCTTAAAGTTTTAAAAGTCTTTCGATTCTGTCCTTATGGTTAAAAAAAAAATCAGTGTCCCTTTTAGCATCCATTTGAAAACTTGCAAATGATTGGAATTGGAGGACACTCTACCAATGGTTATTATTTACACTCAGTGCAGGCCAGCTTTAAACACAATGCTTTTTTCAACTCCTACAGAAGATTCCAAAAGTCAACTCTGCTAACTGTAATATGCATTTAACATTCCACAATGCTTTTCAATTGGTTATTTCTGGTGAAATGCACCAAAATTAAAACAAACAGCTCAACTCAGCAAACATTCCAAACTCAATCACATATAATATCAAAGAATTGACTGTCTTCAACGACTGTACTCCTTGCTCCAAGTGGTCGCACATTGTCTGCTGTGGGTCAGGAGTAGTGCATGATCACCTGGCAGAGGGTTGCAAGCTTAAGACTCACTTCAGAGACTTGAACACAATCTAGACTGACGAAGCAGTACTGAGGGGAGTACTAAATTGCTGGATGCGTTCTACCATATGAACAGCATTTTATTTTCCCTGCTTTAGATATGACAAAGATATCTGATGAATGATTTGTCGTCTGCACATCTCTAATTTTATCTGTGTATAATATGAATTTTACATGACCGAAGCCTTCTGATACAATTTCCAGTATCTGCTTTTAAATTCAGTTCAATGTAATCATTGCAATGTAGAAGAACAGCATCTTCTGACTCTGCCACCTACTTTCTAAACAATAATGACCATATATTGTTCTACAGTGATAGGTAATAAGATAGACACAAAGGCAGTGACTGCTCATTTGGCCCCTTGAGTGAAGTACAGTAGCATATGTTTATGTTCCAGGGCTAACAATCCAGCAGGCAAATTCAATTCCCAGCCCAGCAATTGGGGAAATTAAATTCCGTTCATTAAAATCAATTTGAATAAAAAGCTAGTGTCATGAAACTGCAGATCATCAGAAAAACTGAAATGTGCACAAATGGCCTTTAGGGAAGGAAATGTACCATCTTTATGCAGTCTGGCCAATAAAGCCTCCAGATGCACATGGTCTTTGAAAAGGCCTCACAAGGTACCCAGTTGTATCAAAACACCACAAACTGCAGCAGTTCTAGCAGATGGCTCATGACTACCTTCTCCAAGGTGGGTACGGATGATAAGTGATAGTCTTGAGAGAGATAACCATATCCTTATTCATAAGTAAAAAGAAAATTCACAAAAAAAAACTATCATGTCATCTAACTCGCTCTTGAATGTGTTTAAAGTGTATACCTCTATTCTACACTGTGGCCATTCCTAATGATCATTATTCTTTGTGTAAAGTTCTTCCTGACATTTGTCCTAACTTCTCCTTTCAACAGTGTTTGCTTTGACATTTTCTTGTGATATGCAAACAGACTTTGAATTAATGCTTCTGAATAAATTCCATTTTATATATTTTCATTTTCTCAAGGTCCTTTTCCAGGCATAAAGATCAAAGTTTTCAATCTTTTTCCCTAAGCCAATCCCACATGGATTTTATTTAAAAAAACACACTGCTGCTACAGCTTGATCATTCCTCTAATGGTGACCAAAGCAGAAACCAGTACTCTCATTTACTGTTTAAAAAAAAGGCTTCAGTGCTCACTCACTCATTCAAAGGGACTGAAAATACGATTAAGCATTTCACATCACAATAAAACGTACCAAGATGCTTCACAGGAGCACTGTTAGAGACTGGCCACTTCTCTATCGTCCTTGCTTCACCATTTGGCTATTTTACACTCAATTTCTCAATGTCTTCAACATCAGTCACCTTTCATGGGGGAGTTTATCAAATACTTTCTGAAAATCCAAATACACCACTTCATATCCATTGTGCTACATAGCTCCACCTAAAATAAAAACTAATTGAATCCTCTTCCATTTCCGCAAATGAAGTGCGTCCCTGTAAACCATGTCTTACATTTCTCCTACAGGCACAGCACCTCTTGCATAATTAGCCTCAGTTTGTGAATACAGGGTGTTCCTGTTCACCATGCCTTGTGTTCAACACTGCAGTAACATTTCTTTGATAACATGCCTTAATATTAACCCTCCAAATGTTGCATCCTTCTGTATAAAATGCCGCATATTTATCAGGAATTCAATGCTTTCCTGGGAGAGTGCCGAATATCTGCCCCTCTGAATGCAACATATCCCTATGTAATCTGCCTCTGGAGATCCTCTTCTC